ACCACAATAAAAAAAGGCCACTCTAAAATCTTTAGTTTTATCACACAGCACGATGCCACAGATGTCGCAAGTTTTGATGGAGCGTGCAACTGGCATGTTGACTGACATATCAGGTCAAAATCAATGATACTGGCCCAGTGTTCCTTGGTATAGAATTAATAAATGTTGCTGTATTGCACACCACTAACAACCAGTCTATTACAGGTCAATCACATGACTCAAGCTTCCACTATGTTTTTGTTCACCCTTGTTGTGGACCTGTGTTTCAGAATTGCATAATTAAATACAATTACATGAGTAAACTTTTTCAAACTGCAGGGTTTGATATTGCACAGAATAGCTAAAGTCTTAACTGGAGTTAATAGGAGAGATCATATCTCTCCAGTTTTAGCTTCTCTTCACTGGCTTCCTGTGAAATCCAGAATTGAATTCAAAGTCCTACTTCTAAACTACAAAGCCCTCAACAACCTAGCTCCATCTTATGTTACAGATCTTATTGTTCCATATTTTACTAACAGGCCCTGTGATGGACTTGCGACCTGTTCAGGGTGTACCCCGCCCCTCGCACAGTGATTTATGGACATGGGCACCGGCGACCCCCCGTGACCCAAAATGGAAGAAGCGGGTAAAAGATAATGGATGGATTTTACTAACAGAGCACTTCGCTCGCAGACTTCAGGTTTACTCACGATGCCTAGAGTTTCCAAAAACAGAATGGGAGGCCAATGGGAGGAACCAACTTCCAGTTTCTATCCGTGAGGCTAACACATTGTCCAGTTTTAAGACTGGGCTTAAGACTTTCCTTTTTGCTAAATCCTATAGTTAGGGTTGGCTTGGGTTTCCTGAGCCATCTCTTAATTATGCTGCTATAGGCTTAGACTGCTGGAGGACAAACTGACTACATTTCTTCAACTGCTACTGTCTTTACTTACTCTGCTCAACCTGTTTTGTATTTGTAATTTTTTTTTTAACCTTAACATGTGTTTTGTCTTTCAGGTACACCTGGACATCTGGACCTGCCATTCTGTGTTCGTCTGTCTCTCCTTCCTGTCCTCTCAAACCCAGCCAGTCAAAGCAGATGACCTCTTATCCTGAGCCTGGTTCTGCTGGAGGTTTCTTCCTTTTAAAAGTGATTTTTTCCTTTCCACTGTCACCATTGAGTTTGCTCAGGATGGGAGACTGCAACAAAGTGAAGATTCAAAGAGTCTGCTGGCTTCTTTAGTTAAAGAACTTTACTAATTGGCTTTTCTATGTACGTGAATGTTCCTGTGAAGTGCCCTGGGACAACTTTGTTGTGATTTGGCGCTATATAAATAAACTGAATAACCCTTTTACATTATGTTTTCTACTTTTGCAATGTAGCTTTATTTTTCATCAACATGTCTGATGTCAGCATAAATGTGCATGTGGGAGTCAAAGGTGCAACGTTTGCATTTAAGGGTGAACTTGTCCTTTTTATGGTGGCCTGATGAGCTGATCAGAACAGATGTGAGAATTTAAAGAACACAAAATAAAGTTGTTCATACTCATTTTGGGCTGATGTGGTGGAGTCTGAGCTCAGGGTATTGGTGGTGTCCTTTGCCGAGCAGTGTACTTGTAAATCCTTACTCTGGCTGCTGTTCAGGACTTTCCCTGAGTCACACTGCAATTGTGGCTCATCAGCATTAGCATCCAACACAGGAGGTGTTGGACTGGACGAAGGGACAACTTTTGGAGTGTCACTAAGGTCAACCAGTGGTCCAACGTTAGGTTCAGGGTCAGCTTTAAGGGTACCAGGGTGGGTGGCTGTGCTGGTTTTAGGAGAAACTTTGGTAGGACCCCCTTTAGTTGGACTGGAAGCGCTCTCTTTAGAAGGATTACACGGTGGCATGCTATAACTCTCAGTTACTGAGTTAGAAGCAGTGGAGTGTAGTAAGTTTACCACCATGTGTGGGGTTTCTACAGCAGCAGGCCTGTTTGGCAGGAAGTAGTGAAGAAAAAGAGGGGAGAACGGGGGGGTGTTGGAGGTGGACCAAGAGAAATAAAGGGTAAAGGGAGAGTACAGATCAGGGAATAAAAAATAAAAAAAATCAGAGTAAGTGCTTCTGTGCTTCAGTGAAAAAGTAAAGAAAATGTTAGCAACAAAATATTTGTAGAGGAAAAACACAACGTAATCCGACAGCAAACTAAAACAACGTAGATGCGTCAGTATCAAGATGTTCGGTCATGCAGGAAATAAAAAGTGTTTATGTCTAAATTCATTTGCATAACCTGAACAGGATCTGACGGTTCTGAACTTTAATTGAAACTTAAGTTGCCGTTGGATTCAGTAAAAGTTAACATCATAAACAATCAGTGTTAATGTTTTTTTTGTCAAATGACCTATGATTTTTAAGTAATGTGGTTCTAAACTGTTGTTGCTCATAGCTTTCATTCATGTTTGTCTCTCTCTCTCAGTAGGCGGTGTTGTTTCTGTAACACAGTCATTAATGCCCTTCATTTAGGCTGCAGAGTTTCCAATTTTTATAACAGCATGAAAACAAAACCTCCATATTGAAGTAAATAAGAAAAAATCATGACCAGTCAAAACGAGGAAATTTACTGCGTCAAAACAAAAAATAAAATTAAAATGGAGTGACTTGGCTCATAAAATGGTTTTGTGGTCATGCATGCAGGTTGGCACTTTGGGATTGATCTGGAATACAGTTGGAACTCTTGCTTCTTTATTCACTGTGAGGCACTTTTAAAACATAGCTATTAACAATAACTATTTGTGACTATTTGTTGTTGCGCAATTTCTTCAAACATGTTCAAAAATCACGCCATGGGGCTGTGTGCCTCTGCGGCTAACATAAAAAAAAGTTGAGAACCCCCCAAACGTTGCAGGACATTCTGGACACATTCAAGAGAAACCCATATGAATGCCATTCAACAACTAGGTCCAACTCAGTGCGATACCATCTTAAAGGAGTTACCATGGGAGCCACCTTATTTTTGGAACCAGAGTCTGTCCGGGTTGTGAATCAGTGTTATTTACAGCTAAATGTACTGGTAAAATTAATATCTAAAAATACAGCACTAAGGGAAGCATCACGTAAATCAACAGGAGTCAACACCAGAAAAAATATCTAAGTTGTATTTTTTTAACAAGGGGAAATGTCCTGTTCTTTAACAGGTCAACAGAGAAGGGTTGGTCTCATTTTGGCTTCAACTCTTGGGTTATGGTCTGAGGTCTAGGTACTCTACTCTATACAGTCTTTGTTGTAGATGAACTTCCAACAAAGTGGTGCTTTTTCACAGCAGAATGTTTTTCAGGATAACATCAGCAGACCCTTAAAGGCAACTAACCAGTACAGATCATTATGCACCAGTCAAGTTAAAAGTTAACAACATTATCATTTTCAGAACTTCTTGTATTTAGTTGGACAGAAAATTTTACTTTTAGGCCCTGTTTACACAAAAACAATTTCGGGTGAAAACGGAAGTTTTGTTGCGTTTGTACTGTTCTTTACACGAAAATAGCAAATGTTTTCTCTGACAACGGAACAATTTGAGAACGCGTTCCAGAGTGCAATGGTTCAAAAATGTCCTGGTGTCCGTTATTGTGTAAACAGAAAAAAATAGATATTTTCCGTCAGGGAATCCCTGGCGCATGCGCAGTATGTGGCAAAACATAACGGCTTCCTACAATCCACAGAAGAAGAAACTATTGACAAAACTATACCAGAGTATAGTTTGTGCCTACGGCTGTCCAACAGTTGACAGTGATTTTATTCTCTGCCATCTCAACCGTTGTAGCAGCTTTCAGGTAGAACGTTTATTTTTTAACGCGTGCACACTTAGTTTCAAGTTTCAAAGAACATAGCTCCAACTAGTGGCGTGGTGGGGGAATTACACCATTTCCACGTTGCCGTGTAAACAGAGATTGTAATTAAAATGTTTCCATATAAATGTGTTAATAGAAATGGGAAAAAAAATCTGTTTTTATTGGATTGTTGTTGCGTAAACAGGGCCTTAGACAAAACATATGGGTGACCTCTTACATGCAACTGCAATCGTTGCCAGCCTTCAGTAAGTGGTAAAACAAAAATGTGTACTGAGCACAAACCCCAGGGATAAACAGTAGAAAATTACTTTTTTTGTTGTTTCTCAGTCTTAGTTGATTGTGATGTGCACGTTTATTTAGGCCTGTCACAATAACAGATTTTGCTGGGCGATAAATTGTCTCAGAAATTATTGCGATAAACAATAATATTGTTTGAAATTTAATAATAATGTCAAATTTTAGAAGAAATGTTGATTTGTTTGGCGTGTAATACCTTTTTGACCACCTGACGGCAATATAAGACTGAACCAAAGAATGGATAGTTGAGCAGCGTGTCTCTTTAAGAAAAATGGGAGGGAGGGCCCTTGACGTGACATGGGCTGAATGGTGACATGGCGGATGCTTGGTGAGTTGAGCTCTTTAGCATAGCATTTTTCACACAGAGCTTTAAATAAAAAAATCAGTAAACAAGTTCTCAGCTTCTTTTTGCAGAGAAAAACTTTTTACACGAAGGCACAAATTTCAACAGTGAACTTTGACAGTCGACAAGACGGAGGTTTATTCCCGAGGTCAGCCTGTTAGCTTAGCTCGTAGCTTAACTTCTCAGCTTAGCTGCTTTAAACGATCCAAAAACGCAATTTTGAATGGTTAAAACAAATTTTAAAGAGAAAGGGAGGGGTCAGTGAAGAGAAGAGTTGAGCCTTCAGTAGAAAGTGACGCGAAGATAAAGCCGGTAAATGAAAATGAGGTTGATAATTTTCATTCATCATGTAATTAATTGATTTATTGTTTATTGTGACAGGCCTACGTGTATTACGTGTTTATATTTATGAGCCAAAACAAGCAAACAAATCAGACGCATAAATTGGGCATTTTCAAAAAATGACATCAGTCATAAAAAATAATAATCATTTTTGGACTACTATCATTGTAAACATGGCTGTTACACCCTGTTTAATAAGTCAGGACAACTCACTCTGGCTCCGTCAGTGGAGTGGTCTCATTGGGCTCAGTGGGACCCACTCTTTCTTGGTTTGGAGTGTTTTCCTCCTCTGTTCTCACTTCAACAATTGGCTCCTTAGACTCATCTTTCCTGTTGTCGGAGGAAAGTGGGAAAACATGAAATATATTAGCAGGTGTGTTTGCTAAACATCAGCAGACATCACATGAGCTTCTCTCGCTCGGATAGTTTAAGAAAAGAACTCCCATTACATACACAATGACAAAATCTCCACCCGAAACACCGAGACACCTTCAGTACACAAAGCCAGCAGCCATGTACAAAACAAATGGGTTCAAACATACAAACGTGCAAGGACTGTCTTTTCTTCTGTTAAATCTTCTATCCGACTGATTCACTCAAGCCAATATTTGATCATCCTTTGCCTTCATCCACCTGCAAGCACTGATTGCAGGTTTCCTGTGAGGGCTTTGCTGTTATCGCCACACTGCTCTCTGATTGCTCTGAGCTTTAAAGTGTTTGCTTGCAGCGAGCGACATGTTGAGATCTAAAGCTGGGAAATATCTCAGTACCTCGCGGCTCCACAATTCTGTTTGTGCCACGATTTGCTATTCGAAGCATGTATAGGGAGGAAAATGTTTAACATACAGTACTTAACCACATTTTCAGTCAAACAAAGGCTAACGTGCATTTTCAGAGATGACATTTAAAATATTATTTTTTAGGGGTCGTCTTTCCTTTTCTTTATGATAAACATTTGTCTGAAATGAACAGAAACAAGAAATTCAAAATCAAACTTCATAACATGTTTAAGATTTTCAATATTCAAAATCAAAAATCAGTTTGTGCAATTTAGTGGAAAAAAATATGCTGCTGCATCATAAGAAAGAGTGGGGTGATGCTTTTCTAAAAATATTAATTCACACAAAATGTAGTTCCTTCTTAAAGCTAATTAGTTAATTATTGACCTTTCTGCATATTTCTTTCTGTTTTTTTAAAAAAACATTTTTGCCTCAAATGAAACAAAATGGTTTTAGTTGATTTATTCAGTTTTTACTTATTTGCTGCAAAAGGGAGGGACAGGTTAACACTGAATAAAATGATCATATCACCCTGCCAGCTGTGAACTGTTGAAATAAGCTCCAAGTTCAACCCGCCCAACGTGAGGTGCCAAATGTAGTGGTTTGATTTTTATTGGGGACTGCCATGGCAGGCACCTATTATTCTACACCTCGGAAGTGAGTCTACATTTCTATCTCCATTAATGCGGCTCGAACCACAATGTCTACCCCCACAAAAGTTATATCAAAATGACTGGCTCGGCCCCGTGATGTGTGCTATTACTTTTATTGGCATTTCAAGTTACCATGGCAAAGTAATTTGCGAACAAAGACGCAATATTTTCCAACTCCAGGAACTAGTTGGTGACTGCCCACTTATTATTCTACACCTGAAAAGAGTATCTTTTTAAACATTAATGTGGCCAAAACCGCAAAGTGGACCCCCACAAAAGTTCTATCCAAAGGACTGGACCGACTCTGAGATGTGTGCTATTACTTTTATTGGCAATTGGCGTTACCATGGCGACATATTTTGCTAACGAAAAAGACAAATTTCCCATAGGAAATGAATAGGAGAAAACTTTTCAAAGACACTGAGTAACGTTGGGAGCCATTTTGGTTCAACATGCATGGAAGGCACCTATTATCACCTATTATTATTAAGTAGTAAAAATAATTAACATAAATTGTTAATTATTTGTTTTAATAATAACATTAACAATATATATTAATAAGATATATTAATACTTGAGATTTAATATTAATTATTAATATTAATATATTATCAAATATATTAATAGTTTTTAATAATTAATATATTGACAATATATTAATAATTAATATTAATATTTATTATTAATAATAATTTAATAATAAATGCGCCGTCCCCATCAAAGTTTCTCCAGGAACTTTCTAGTTTTCTTAATGCTGTTTGGCTGATCACTATTATGCTCTAATAAACCCCCATTTTTGCTCTCAGACAGATTCAGTGTCATCAGGTTTATTATTATTATTGATAATAAAAACTCAACACAGTCTGCAGGTAAAACCAATAGAGTCTCATAAGAGCAGAAATGTCTGCCATGTCAACAGATTCTGGACCTCAAATAATCTTACTGAATTCAGGAAAGGTATGGGGTATAACCTTCTGTGTCAAAATGTGGACATTTTCTCTTTAAAACAACCATTTGTAAAGCTAAAATTAGAAGATAAATTATCAGTTAAGTAGTGTGAACTGTACAGATCAGACACGAGCAGAAGACCAAAAACTAGAGACAGCAAGCCAGTTTCTCCAACATGGTACGCCTGAATATTTCTTATAATCAAATTAAAAATCCAACACAACTCCAAACTGTACTGCAACAAAACACAAAACTACTAATGGGGTGGGAGTGGGGGGTGATTACTTCGCAACTAACTGTATGTGGTATGTAAACGTTTCAACCAAGAAGAATCCATCCAGATGACCTGACTTAACTTTTTTGGATTTGTTTACCTGGATGATTGAGCATGAATCAGGATAAACTGTATGCGGGTTTTTCTGTTCAAGAATCTTTATTAACCCAAAGGGGCCATTTGTTTCACACAAAACATCCAAACTACACAAGACATTGAGATATTAAAATACCAGTATAGAAGTCATCAATGTTTGTTGAGAAGCCTGATCACTACAGGGATACATTAGTTTTGCTCATCCTACAGTACATCTGGGCAGCAGATACTTGCGTCCAAATGGAAGCAACCTGAACTCACCATGGAGAGGGTGATCAGGATCTGCCAGAACTAGGCTGGCCTTGTTCACTGACCTTGTCTTGTGTAGGTCATTGAGGTTCTGTAGGTTTTGTGTGTGCTATGTGGTGAGAGAAACAGTCGACGTGTTCCTGCTCTTTTGTTGTTATTCTGCTCTCTATGCACAGCACTGTACCTCTCCGTTTCATTTTATACAATTAAAATTTAAAATACTAATTTGCTTTTTCTAATTAAAACATCATCCATCTTTGTTTTAATTATTTAACCAGTGTTTTTGCAAAATGCACAAGACACAACCTCGACCTATGGGAGGAAGAGGGATAAACTTAAAATATATTTTTAAACAACATATTCTTGCTTTTTTCCCCCTCACAGAAAACATGAATGTAAATTGTACAATTTGTGTGGTTAGCGACTCAGGAAATGAAGACAATATCTTCCCCGTTAGTTTTGCACAGGAGTAAAAAGATAAATAAAATACTTACGAGAATGCAGCCTTTCCCTCCTCAATGTCCTTGCCTTTGGCCCCTGGTCCAGCTTTCCCACAGAAGTTAACAGCGATGCACATAAGGAGCCCACACTTGTTGAGGAAAAAGCAAGTGACATCCACGGCAACCAACAGCAGGAAGAAGACAACAACAAGGATGCCTACAATGGCTCCAGTGCCTAGTCCGGAGCCACCTTCCAGCACATCTGAAGGGGAGAAGACAGGTAGAGGGGACATACAGGCAAAACAGGCAGAAGAAGAAAAAAGACATGAAGGAGAGGGGGACAGCGAGAAAATTAGAAAGAGACAAGGAGAGAGGTGATGAGGGATGCAGTCAAGCTTTAAAATCAGCGATTTAGGTTGCAGTCAAAACTTTAGGTGTGTTGTAACATTCGAAGGGGGAATCCAGAGAAGAATCTTTCCAGAGAGACCGGTCTAATCCCTGGTTTCATTACAGCAGCCTGACACTTACTTTGGTAAATCATGATTGCCGACACACATGAGATGTTTAATTTTCCACTCATAGAATTAGGTAAGATTAAAAAAGAAGAATGAACACCCATATCCATACACAATCAGCCTTAGAAAACCTGCAACGCAGTTTAAAGTTTGCATTTAATTTTTTTTCCATCAGGGATATGTTGCAATTCCAGCTTTTTCAGCTTTAATAACAATGTACATTTAAGATTATTATTATTTTTTTTACACATGGATAATATAAAAACCTTTTACACACAATGCGTTCGTACAAATAAACCTTGCCTTTTAATCTTACCCAGGGGTGGGCAAACTTTCGGACTCGCGGGCCACATTGAGTTCTAGTAGTGCGCCTCTACTGGGGAAATGCGGGAACTACAGGTAAAACGACACCAGTTTTTTTCCCCTATTAAATTCAGGTTTTTAAATATAATTTGAACCAATGGCGATTTTAACCTCTTTTTGGGGGTGCTTAAGCACACCTGAAAAATAAAGTATAAAAAATATATATATTTTTTTATTATTGTCCAAATTTTGGACAATTTCGGCGAGCCAATTAAAATGCCCAACGGGCCGTATACGGCCCGCGGGCCGGGGTTTGCCTATACCTACAATAGCATCAAGGGGTTTTCTAATCATGATACAGTCTTGGAAGAAGAAAGTTGAGGATTTTACAAGGTACATTATGTAAAGAACATTTAGAAAAATTTTATATTAGTTTGTATTGCAATTTTTAAACTTTTTTTGGTTTATCACCTAACAGCTCCTCAGAGTTAAAACAGGTGTCTTTATTGCGTGATACGGTAAGTGATGAGTGTAAAATCAAAAGTGACCACCTCACACTGTTTGTGCTTCTGCTTTGTGTTGCAGGGACACTGGTAGGCGGCCTTGAATGGATACAGATCTTGCCAAAAACTGAGCTTGAACTGTGTCCAGCCTTTTTGTGCCACAACATGTGCATCAGTAAGATAAATCATAGAAGAAGCTTGTTCGATGGCCTGACATTCTGTGCAAAGGAAGAAATATTACCCCAATGGATTTCCCTGCAAATCCCCCCCACAGGTTCTGGTTGATGATATTGGAACAGGACCCACTGGACCTCCTGATCAGTGTAACAAACTCCGACACTGATAGTTTATGAATTCTGCTAATCTGTCAGGAGCCTTTATTTACAGAGACTGAAGTTCACGGGGTCATGTTCGGTTTAACATCTTGATTGTGAGCAACGTCAGATAGTGTCCAATGTTTGTGTGCGCCGAATGAGCAAAACTTTATTGCGTTTTTGTTTGAGTTATTTTTTATCAAAATTTCGCTATATTTCAATACAGTAGTCCCTTGTTTATCACAAGGGATCTGTACCCTGAAGACCTGTGATAAGTGAAAAACCACAAAGTAGGAATAGTAGTACAAGTAGTAAGTAGTTTATTTTAGTATTCATATATACAAATACATATATACATCCATCCATCCATCCATTATCTTTACCCGTTTATTCCATTTTGGGTCACGGGGGTCGCTGGTGCCCATGTCCAGCAATCACTGTGCGAGGGGCGGGGTACACCCTGGACGGGTCGCAAGTCCATCACAGGGCCACATAGAGACAAACAACCATTCACTCTCTCACTCACACCTAGGGACAATTTAGAGTTACCAATCAGCCTAACATGCATGTTTTTGGT